GATAGGTTGAAGCAAGTCATGCCAGACGAGGTGAGAACCTACGTTCTTCAAAATGAGACGAAAGGGTGGCTTAGGCCAAAAGAGGTGGTTGGGCTGGCAGAGAACTTTGACGAAAGCCGTCGTGGGAGAAAGCCTCAAGGCAGGGAGAAAGCTTCGGACAGCGCAACCGTTCGAGGGCGAGATGGACAGTCGAAGGAGACTGTGCTGACGACGACTGGCGGTGAGGGACGCGTCGCTGACCGAACGAGGGCGATTCGTTGTTTTGGCTGCGGTCCAATGGGACATATCCAGAGAAACTGTCACCAACCACGAAGGCAAGCAGACGAAGGTCAGGGGAACCAAAACAAACATGACCCACGAAAATTGGTAGCCCAGGTGGCGCCTGTGCCAACGGAAACAGCAAAAGCATGCGTCAAAAGGGCCGGTATGAGCCTCAGGTGGGTGGATCTCATAGTGGCAGACAGACCTCTGAAAGCCTGCCTAGATTCCGAGACAGAGATTACGGTGTTGAGATTGGAAACGGTTTCTGCGGCGTGCTTACAACAGCGTAGAGGAACAATCAAGTTGAAAGGAGCGTTCGGAAAGGTGGTAATCGCCGATTTGGCCTACGTGCCACTGAGTTTAGTAGTGGAGGGAGAAAGCACGGCCCCCTATTAAAAATTCTCATTTGTATGAGAAATTTCTGTGTCCAATAAACACATATGAATCATACAAGATATATAAGAACATATAAGAACCGTATGAGAACCATATAAGAGCTTTATAAGAACTATATAAGCTATATGAGAACATACAAGCACCATATAAGAAACTAGTGGGAAGTTTCTTATAAGTTTCTTATGGTGTTCTTATATATCTTATATAAGTCTTATATAGTTCTCATATAATTCTTATATGGTTCTTATATGTCCTTATTTGTTCTTATATATCTTGTATGATTCATATGTGTTTATTGGACATAAGAAATTTCTCATACAAATGATTTTTTTTACTAGGGGGGCCAGCAAGTCCTCACACTGTGTGCAATCACCGACGAACTGTCGGACAGTTTGGGAGCGTTGCTTACGCCAGAGGTGTACAGAGAACTATTGCAAGTTCGATCGGTTCCCGAGAGGGAGGCGGTAAAAATTCAAGTGACGGAAAATGAGATAGACCAGGAATTCCGACACACACCTGAGGACACGCTGGGGGACGAGGTGCTCGAGTGCGAAACCGCGGAAAACGGAGAAAAGACAGACGCGGACGGCGATGACCACGGCGACATCGAGGTCGAGCCGGCGGTCCAGACAGGTAGGGGGCACCCAAAGCCCACCGGAAAAATGGACGACGCCGACGGGTTGCCCGAAATCTTGAATGAGCGGCAGAAGCTTGAAAATCCGGAAGAAGACCGCGAGGACAACGCGTATGGCGAGGACCGCGGCGGCCGTAAGGCGAAGCACGTTCAGAGGAGAGCTGGCGCCGACGAGGCAGATGCACCCGCCGGTGATCCGGTGACGCAAGGAGGCGAAAGCGAGAGCGGGAGCGATGGTGACGGCGGCGACGAGGGGACGAACCCGGTTGGCGACGTCGAGCGCCGGGATCCAGGGAACCCCGGCGCACCGGTCACCGCAGCTCTCGGGATGCAAGGGCCGGCCCAGGCTGGAAGGAAACGGCTGCGCAAGAAGCGCATCGCCAGGTCGGAGTCGGCGGTCATCAAGGACTCCGGATCCGACCCTGCATCGGCTCCGGGCTACGACGAGGATGATCATGCAGAGAACGAGAACGACGGCGAGAGGACGGCGAAGAGAGCCTTGATTCCTCCGATCCAGGCGTCGAGACGAAAGCTCCGACTGCGGAGAGGCGCCGACTTCGGGACCGGGGCCGTGTCGTCGCCGAAGGTCAGGCGGTGGTGCATCGCAGGGCGACGCCCAGGAACAAGGTTGCGTCGCGCTACTCCAGAAGGGGGAGTCTGGACGCAAAGTGCTGCGGGGGCGGCAAACGCCAAATGAACACAAAGGAGACGAGGAAGCCACACCGGTCGGTGCCCAGAACTCGCACGCGTGAACAGCAGACGTCAGGTTTGGGCTCGGGATTGGCGGGTGTTGCGGAGGCGACCGACTGCGAGCCGCCCCAGGTAGTCCTCAGAACGTCTTTAACGGCGACGAGATGGACGACAAAACGGCCACGATTGGGGGGGTAGCTAGCCAGGCTACTAGGCTTTTATTTCACTTTTAGTCTACATTTATGTCACGGCCCCCCTGATTCATTGTTCTTCTGGCCTTCGTTTGGCCCCTCGATATTATATATTCTAAGAAATATATACTTTTTGTGTTCGGTTTTTATTCTCTGCGGGAGAAGTTTGAGTGTCCGCACGTAATTGAAACGTCTTTCGCAGCTTTGGCGTTGGTAAGCATGTCGCGGCTAGACAGACATGGTTAGGGCGTGGTCATTCTGCCACAGTTTTGAGAGCTCCCGCCACTGATTTTGCGGGACCCTGGAATCTACAGGAGTGGGTCCAACTTGTGTGTGATCGTGGGTGGCAGTTTGACTTTGAACATTACAGCTATCACGAAATTTTTTCTTTTGTGTGCCCATTCTGGTGTGTGTTGGACGTTTTGCCTGCGGCAGCCGTTTTAGTGTTTCTGGTTTTGGAATTGTAATCATTTTCTTATTTTTTTATCGGTGCCGTTTGATTTTGCTGACATTTACGGACGAGCAGTTGGTGAACTTTTAGAGCGTAATGTTGACATTGTTGCTTTTGGTTAACTTTGGGACAAGCGGTCGGTTCGAATATTTGCCAGTGCGATTTTCGGGGAAGGAATTTTTGTTGCGCTTACATCAAGTGTCAACGCAACAGTCTTGGTGGGGAGGAGTTAAGTATTTATGAGTCATGCTTATTAATTAAGGTGTTTTCTTTTGGTTAGGAAAGTTTATCTTTCCAGAGTTGCGTCGGCATTGTGTTTTTTTTTTGGCTTTCTACGTTTGGGTCGGCGGGGCCAGAGCGGCCGCGGTGCGGGAACGGTCCCCCCCGCGGTCGTTAAAGGGGCAGTGCAACGATTTTCAGACTTTGGCCAGTTAAGTGCGGAAGCTACTCTGCGTCACCTATGGAACGAAAAACCGAAAGCCGCATTCATTTGCGAGCGCTAGTTCTTATTTAAAAAAATGAAACAAATCGAAGGTCGAAGTGCCTCTCAACTCTCCACGCCGACCTTCGAGTGACGTCTCTGGGGGTTCACGTGGTTTCCCCTTGGGCCCTCTCTTCAGAGACCCCAGCCGCTTCCTCCGCGATTGTCGACTTTCAAAGGATTAGCCTCGTCGAAGGTCGCGGCGAGCGATGGACACAAATGACGGTTCTCTATGGGGCTGACGGCGAGTGTAGCAGCGGAGGGGGACAGGGTTTGTTGACTTCCGCGTATCCCCCAGAGACGCCGTCATTTTAGTTCCCGTAGCCGCCACCGGCGGCTGCAGATCGGCAAAAAATTCGTTTTTTGCCTTGCGATTACGCAGCAGAATAGCCGTTTTTTTGGGAAAGGTGACGCGTTTTTGGTCACTTGGGCTTGTATGAACAATATAAAAAATGCAAACTGGCAATTCTTTCAACATTAAAACCGTTGCACTGCCCCTAAACGTCTCGGATTTCGGGGGTCTGCTCGGACCGGGACCGAAAGAGCCCGCGCTGGAAGATGCTTGTGGCTTATAACCGAATGTGCGTGTATGCAGAGGGCTTTGCCGCTTAGTGTAAAATTGTCCTTTTTGCCCGATGCAATAACTTAGCGGTTGGCGCCAGTCAGGCTGGGAAAATTGCAGAGAACAACTCTACAAGGAGTTTGGGTTTGGCGGTTAGGACGCCAAAATGACAGCTCGCCGACCATTGGAGAACAGTGTACCACGTGTGAGTGGCGGAATTTGAAGAGATTGGTCGGTTCCTGAGGGGAAACGAGGCCCCTACGGGCCTACAAAAGGAGCGCGGAGAAGATTTTGGGGGATTCGGACTTTGGCTTTGACGGAGAGAAATTGGGGACGGGGGTCGAGACCTTAGACGGGGCAGGATGATTTCCCAAGTTGGGACTTGTAACTAGAGTGTAAATAAATGCACATAGTTCTCTTCAAGCAGTGAGTCGACCCGTCACTCAGCGACGTTCGTGCCGCCACGCTCCAGACCATCGAAGCGGAACCTGCCTCCCACATCCACCGGGAGGAACAAGGACTTCAACTGTGCATTCAAGTAAATAATAAAATAAAAATAACTATTTTATCGTTAGGCCGGTGAGAGGGCAACATTTAATTGCAGCTAGAAGTGCAGTGTCTGGGGTAAACTCCTGAAACCAGTTGAAGATGCATTTACTAGTTCTTGAATACAAAGTTCAGTTACGCTATTTCCGATTTCAAAGATGTGCACTTAATACCCATTCCTCTGTTGCATAATTCCGCCGCCTCACTCAGTCAAGTGGAATTATTGATTGTTTGCTCTCAAGCTCCGTATTTCAATATCTTAAAAGCGAAACACATTATTCACAAAGATAAAGCAATTTCAAATTTTATTCATATTGTTTCAAAATAGGAAAAACCGACCTAACAAGCCCGCTGCAATTCAGACAAAAACAAGTAAAACTATACTGCGTGAAACTCGGTAATACGCGTATCTAAACAGAAAAACTAGTTACTTTTATAGGTGTAACGCATAACTCACTTCCATTTGCAGCTTTCCGCCTCTCGTGGTTGTTTTGTCTAATTCGTAACGTCATGAGCAAGTAATTCTAAATATTTCGTTTGACAACTTGCAAAATGGTGGATTAATTAGTGCCTTTTATCTTTCATTGCCCCCTGACCCACGAAATTATTTCGTGGTACTCGTGGATATTTCTGCCCATTGGAATTTCCCCCTTTCAATTACACTTTGCCCTTATGATATCATCGTTTATTAATTTCAACGCCCTTAATCGGAAGATTGTTATCGTTAGTTGTCGACAGTTTTGTTTCTCTCCGGAGTGGCATGAAAGCCACAGCTTCTTAGTCCTCACCGGTCAGTTCCCCGTCGGGCTGAAGGAGCGGGTGGGCGAGAGTGAAAGCCATCTCGGTGTCGTCCGCGCTGGCGATGTCGGGGTACCTGGGGTCCTGCGAGCGACCGGAGCAGGTATCGTCACTTATTGGTAGGGTCCCGTGTTTTCGGAGATATCCGAAAAACACCCACCACTAAAAATTTTCGAAATTGGAATTTAACCGCTAAACTCCGAAATTTCCTGCAGCAATAAGACCCCGAAAAATGGCCTTACCGCTTATCTCGTCAAGTTAAATTTAGGGCAATAGGTTAATGTACTTTCAGGTCACGACAAAAAAAAAAAGTTTTGGATTTTTAGTTTGGGCAACACTAGTTGTGCTTCTTAGAGGAAGGAGGGGTTGTGTTTTTGTAAAAGTAACGCTACAAATAGGATTCCGTGTTTCCGGCGTTTATTAATGCGAAAGTATTAACTGTCCCGTGGCGCGAAGCGTGTAGTCCGTAGCAGCGAGTTGGTGGATAGACACTCATTGGTTGGCGCGTGGCATAGTTCCAAGGAACGCCACCCCACTGTCATGGCGGAGCGGCCCGGCCGCCGGTAATAGAAAGAGGGTGGCAGGGCTCTGCAAAGCAGCCGGCCGCAGAGCCCGGCCGGGTAGCATCCGCGCAGGTCACTCGTCTGGACTCAGCGCGGCGCGCAGCTTGGAGGAATACGCTACGTATGAGAATGCTTTCGCATTCCGGCACATTAGCAATCGTAAGTGTCATTATAGTTTTTTTAATTGGGAGGGTGTTTACTGGGGTTTATTTATGTTAGATTCCCGATTCTCCGAAAGTCAGTATTTCATTTTACTCTGTTGTCATGTTTTCAACATAAAATAAAAGGTGTCCGCACAAAAACGTACGCTAAATTTATTTTAAAAAATCAGCTGTATCGAAATATATTTCTGCAGCTGCTCTTCGCGTTGGTGCCCTTGAGATTACCAATACCAACTGTCCCACTACAAATCCTGAAAACAAGTTACTTCAACAAACGTCGCTATTTTGAAATAGCCATACACACATAAAGACACCCTATGAAATCTAACAGGTTTCCATCTTAACAGCTTTCCATCTTCCACTGTTACAAAGACACAACGCCTACCCCCTATAAGAAGCACAAATAGCATGGTCCAAACCGCAAATTGCAATAGTGGCTTTTGTCGTGGTTCAGGTGTGCATTCGCCCATCGCACGAAACAAACATCGACCAAATAAACGCGAAACTTCCTTTTCTCAACAGTCCAAAATTAGAGAAAAAGAAAAAAAAAAGGTAAATTGTCTTTTTCTCATAACCACTAGCCTTGTTATCTGACAAGCGTTATTCGTAAACTACAATTGTTTTGCTGTGTGTAAGTGTTTTTTTCTTTTTTTTGCCGTTGTGATTTTGAACTTTTGCGTTTTTCGGATAAATTCGAATTGGCGAAATTTTTACCGGCGAGTATCTTTCGGCGTTTATGGGATTTTCCCGAAAACCTGGAGCCCTAGCTATGAAACACATGGGGATTTCATAAAGGGGGAAGACAGGGGTTTGGGGGGGGGGGGGGGGGGGGGGAGTTGAAGCTTCTCTAATACATGCTTTGCACCTCCACCTCGCGCGGCCACGGGGTAGGTTGATGGAATAAAATTGGATGAACACGAGCTTTCCACCGACTATACCTCTAGGAGTTAATTAGATTTAGTGTATCGATATTAACGGAGCAACACTGGCGTGCAACTTACACGGTGGGAATAAATTAGTATTGCTAATAAAAAGGTGCATCAACGAAAAATCCAGGTGAAGCAATATTAACAAATACAAGCCCGCTTCTTTTTGATATATCCCACCTATACACCTTGATATAATTTATTTTTATATTTTCAGCAGGGAACACCCTGAATTTAAATTCGGAATTTAAAAACAAAATTGGAAATAGACGAAAAATGAACATTGATAAACTCCGAATTTTCAGCGAAAAACCTCACGAACAGCGAATGCCTCGAGAATAATGCACAGAATTAGTCACGAAGAACTTAAATGCAAGCAAGTTTAGATTTCAAAATACGCTTTCACGGGAGTGTTCTACGAGGGTCGCATGCGGGTCCAGCGACTACCTGTTAGGATTTTCTCAACAGCGAAAATAGGACGAACTAGCAAGGATCGCTCTATTAGCGGCGGAAGGCGGGCACCTTGGTTCCGTAGGCTATCCTCAGGGGCTCCCTGGTCCTGGCCACCCGTGCGGCGAGGCTGGTTCGAGCGCCGGCGTCCGGGCCTTGCTTGCAGCTGCAACCACAAGGCAGCCGAGCGTGACCAAGAGGAACGCCGACACCGCGGTGCTCGCATGCTCACGGGCAGCCGCCTTCCGTGCAGTGGATACTGTGCAACTCCTGCGGGAAACGGGCACACGTCAGCCAGCGAGAAGTGGGTGGCTCGGCCTCGGCACACCCAGAAAGCGGACGACCACATCAGTGAAAACACAAGACGCGACCTATTTCTGATGTAAAGGAAGAGGACATTTTTTCAAGATACGGAGTAAAGGGTGAGGGCTCAGGCGCCTAGAATTGTGAAAGCCGGTGTATTTCGTCGTCATCCCAGTAGGATCGAACACAAACCCGGACAGGGGTGCTGCATTTGGCTGAGTCTGGTGTCACTGTGACGGAAGACGCTCGGGCCCAATTGCTCAGTTGGCGCCCATTCTCAGAAAAAAGGGGTACAGACTTACACTCCTCCTTTATTACAATACGCCCCAAGACTTCAGTTTGACGTAGAGCGCACCGACGTCGAATTGACCGTACCACCTTTCACGAGCGGCTCGGTAGCCAAGTGGTATAACTTAATAAAAAAGCTAATAAACGTGTTATTACTACACAAAACAAGCATGCATGATTGGCTTTACTTGTTCTGGCTTTTCTGCAAAACCTCAGTGTTGTTTTTTTGTTGTTTGTTATACGTACTTTAGGGGTTTAATAAGTTATATCGCACCGTTATCACGCGCTTCATAAAAGTTGGGTCCGTCAGTTCGACGTCGGTGCGCTGTACGTTGAACTGAACTTTTGGGGTTTCTGATATGATACAAATTGTGTAATACAGCACCCTTTTTCAGAGAGCATTCGATCACCTTAATTGGAGCTAAAGGACGCTGTTCATATGCTTTCATTATTCTAGGTGTTCTTGGCTGAGTCAACACTCCCTAGATGAAAACGCCGTTCTGCCAGGCTCTCTATGTCATCTACAAAGTGTCCTCCCCCCTCCCCGAAGAAACATATCTACGGGGTCTTGTGTTTAACGTAAAAAGTGAACTACGCGTCGCCGAACGTTCGCTATCCGTTCAAAGCTATCGCTACCGCTCCGAACCAGATGTCAAAGTTTATGAACAATCTATTACTTATTCAAAAGTTGCGTGATTTTTTTAGTGTTTCAATGGGAAAACTGGCAGCCGACAGCGCTCTGAAATACATGGAGCTAAATAGAGCCAGTCGCCACAATCGGATAAAAACGAGCCCCATTTTTTTAATTGAGATTTTCAGAACACCATTTGTAACGTTTAAATGAGATAAGGGTTATTTTTGAAACTTCGGTATCGGGTTGTGACCGCTAGCGCTACACTTTGACGGAGAGAGAGGGTTCGGCGATGCGACCTTAATTTTTGCGGTGGAAAAAGCTGTACATTTTCTTGGGGCCAGGCTGCACTACAACCCAGCGGGGATTGGAGCGAGTGCTGCATCAGGGTTGTGGCTCGTGTTCCATGAGCGACGCAGCGCCCCAGTCCAATCCCCCGCTGGCCTCTGCTGAGTGACATCAGGGTCTAAGGCCTTGTTATCTACAAGGCCTTAACTTACGGAACACTACGTACAGAATAAAAAAATACGCAACAAACCGGAGATCTCGGTGTTTAGCTTATTTGTACTTGTCACTGTGCGTCAGAATTAGCGTGAAGAATACAATAATGTTTTTAGATTATTTACTAATCGAGATAAGTGTCGAATTCTACATTTTATTAGGAATGTTAGTTCGCAACGTGAGCTTATTTCAGTACACTAGTAGATTTTGATTTGGTCTTCCGGTTATTAGCAATGAAGCAAAAAAAAATTAACGTGTAATGCTTGTGTTCGTGCTAAATATGTCGCGTTCTGCCTATGCTTTTACGTCGAGCCACGTGTCTGAGACGCTAATATAATAACAGAAGTAACTTTATTTTACATCAAATATGATAGGTGGCCGAAAGAAAGAAGGTGCAGTGTGAGGATTGACAAGCCCTCGGTCAACTAAAAGAATCAACAGCAAGAGAAGGATGCGGACATAAGAAACAACATACACGCTATAACGAGCTAAGGTTAAAAAGTCGCCCTAGCAAAACTCACAGATCTGAATCAAAATGGCATACTTTACAATATAATATTATAAAATAAAACTTCACGTCTGTGAATCTTAGACCGTCTAGATCAACACCATTTATAGAGAGCTTATTTAATAAATCTGGTAGTGTCACGTTTAGGATTTCAGAAGCATAATTTGTTCCCCGAGTGACCATCCCCAAATCCTCTGCCCCAGAGGTAGGGTAGGCTTGTGTGTTTTCCTTCAACGACGCGGGGGTTTACAAAACAATTTTCATACTATGTTTTCCTTTTAAATCTAATAGAGAGCCATTATAGATATAAATATACATAATGCATATGTGAAACTCCTTAAATAGGTCAGAAGTAGACAAGTTATGTGGTACGTTATATATGCCTCTTGATACTTTGTAGCTATATTGCTGAGAATATTCAGGTAGCGCCCAAATTTTAGCCAGGAAATCCACCGCACTTCATGTGAGATTAAAGAAAGGTTTTCTCGGGAAATATGCACAACGCTTCTTGAAAAGTGAAAAAAAGGTCCAGCTGAAGTAGATAAACAAACCGCGTTGTATCATATGTCTGAGGTTGATTCCAAAAACATTAGATACTTGCTGAGTAATACCTTGTATGACGATGCTACTTGTACGTCGAAAAACACTTAACTATTTTGCCTTTGTTTGGGAGACAAGCCCGCTAGTTAAGACGCGCACATGTGGTTGGCAGAGCAGGTGGCTGACAGTCGGCCAGTGGAACACTTCGAGAGTAGCGGGAGCATGTGTGCAAAGGGCAGCTAATTTGTCGTTGTCAAACACAGCGAAAGGCATCGCGACTGTTTGTCCGCTTCTCTTCCTCCTGTCAGTGACGTTAATTGTAATTCTTCACAACGAAATTTAATCAAAGCAATGACCAACCAACCAGCCGAATTGCAAGCACTGTTAGGGCAGCTCTACCCTTTCCACTTTTGCTACATACTGCACAATGCCACGTACCCAAAGTCTGGGTTAACTTCAATCTGACTGCAATTGTGCGCCCCAATAAAATTCAGCTGTGGATACCAGGTATTTAGAGACGTTAGAAAAGATCGAGGTACACCTAATCATTTCTTATGAGTTGTGAATGCGAAAGATGCATGTCATTTATTCGCTCCCTTATTTCTTCTGCGGCGTATTTGCGTCGGCGGCCGAGCGCGCGCTCTCGTCGCCGCTCTGACCTTGGACGCTTCGTGTTACCGGCGTGCTGGCGGTGCGGACACACAGCGGCATCGGGTGGCGGTCGTTGAAACTGACGCCCAGCTGCCAATTTGAGCCTCGTTCCTTGAAACAACGACGCGCGCCAACAAATGGGACCGAAGCCGAAATCAATCAAATTTCGGCTTCACTCCGCTCCTTTGGGATCGGGGAAACTAGGTGCCGTTTCGCTGTACGGTGTGAGTGTACCTTTGCAGTTGTGCGCTGTAGTGTGTGTTAATACAAGTAACCAACTCGCCCAAGCTGCTACGTTAATAAACTGTGCATATGCTCGTTTCACTTACAAAATGCCGGAGCGCCTATGACTAGGACTCTATACGGTTTCCGTTTACCACTATTTCGCACTCGTGAAACAAGCTCCTGGAAATTAAAGAAAGAGAGGCGAAGTTCTATTAAGCCGCGAACTAGGAAGCAAGGAGCTTGCGCTTGCAGCCTTTCCGATATGTTAGGGAGAGAAGCAGTATAAATGCCCGACGATGACGAAAAACACAGAGTAAAACTCTGATGTGATAAGTCTGGTGCAGGGTTGTAAAAGTTACTTCAAAAATGTACCTAAGATACAGTTACAGTTACTCATACGAAAAGGTATCTAGGTACGTACCTAGTTACTCGCTTAAAAATGTACCCGGGTACCGGTACAGTTACTTCAAAGATACTTTATTTATTTCCCCTAAATTTGTCAGAATGTATAGGAAGTAAAGATTGGTATACTAAGTATACACACAAGAACCAGTTCGATGAATGTGCTTTATTGGTGTCAACGCCATGTCCACATCGGCGTTGAGTCCTTACGTGCCTTGTCCCCACGCTCCAATTGGTTCACCGAGGCCACAGCTTCCACTATTTACCCTGTCACGCCGAAACCGCCGAAACTCGCTTGTTGACGTTCTTGAACTCAGAGCCGGTGCTGACGTCGACGGGCCCAGAAGACGCCGGCCGCATAAGAAACGCATGAGTCGAGGGCGTATGTAGTGTACCTAACCTTCGCGACGAAGAGCAAAAAGCTTCAAGCTTACTCGTTTTTTTTTTTTTTTGTTTTTTTTTTTGTTTTCGTTAGCGGGGAGAAAAATAATATTTTTTTTTTCTTTCGGAACTTTTTTCAGTTTTGATAACTGCAAAATTTGAGTCAGATCTATTGAGTGGAAATTGTATTTTATACGCGGTGTTACATTTCTTTACGATTCTAATTCTGATTTATTTTCAATTATGTCTTCTACTGTATTTCTGGCAGAAGAGAGTCACCACCAGGTCAAGATACAGGCAACAGAAACTGAGCACATCTTTCAAGTTATCTACCTCTTTCATTCTATAGCTGTCAGAGGCGCTTCAAACATGCAAAGAAGTCGATTTCGGTTTGTGATAAAGGAAACAGATAGCTATTTTTCCTAAACGTAGTTCCGAGGCGATTCGATAAATTGGTGTAGCTCGAACGGCATCGCTAATCAACCGTTCGCTCAAATGAACACCGCTATTCGCTAAAGTGTCGTTTGATGAAACATCATGGGCGGGGCTTCGTTCACTAAAACGTCGTTCGATCAAGTCAGTGCCTCCCAGTCCGTACCCAACTCAACGTTAATCTCGGCACATGGTAGTGTGTTACCACTTCAAGGTTTATAGTTTGAACCATTTTGACAAAGTGAATAGAAAAGTACCTGCAAAAAGTAACTTCACTTAGTTGCAAGTTACTAGAAAATTTCCCTAAAATGCAGATACGGATACTGAAAAATTAAACTACCTAGGTTTTTACCTCAGGCAGAACAAAAAGTACCTAGATACCCATTTCCAGGTACTTGTGCCTAGATA